AGCCAGCTGCCCGCTCGCCTGCACGCCACTGGAGAGCTGCTTCCCCTCTTCCTCCTCTGCTGCCCCCCGCCCAGCCGCTTCGTCTCCTCCTCGCAGCTGGGCCAGCTGCCTGCTCGCCTGCCGGATAGCCGCTTCCTCCTCCGCCACCACTGCTGCAGCCTGCCCGGCCGCTTCCCCTCCTTCTTGCCCTCCTTGGAGCTGAGCCAGCTGCCTGTTCGCCTGCACGCCACCGGAGAGCTGCTTCCCACTCGCCTGCACGCCACCGGAGAGCTGCTTCCCCTCTTCCTCCTTCTCCTCGCACTCTATATTTTGAGTGGAGATATTGGGGGGGGGTCATCTTATACCCCCAGTCGTCTTGTACGCCGGCAAATATGGTACTCTGGGCTAAGCAAGACCTTCTGGCAATGAAACTGGCTTATCCTGTGTTCTCTATTTAAACCTTTATTTTGACATTTCATTGTTTACAACTGTGTTTTCCTTCCATAAGGATTTTGGAGTCTTCTTGTTCTAGCCTTAATAAGCGGGCTATCATGTTGCAGCTTTTCATGGACAGTGACATATTTTGATTCCTTTGAACCGGGAATGTTTCCTCCTACTCCACTGTCACCTACACGATTCAAGTAAGTATTAGTTTATTCAGATTGCAGTTACACTAAATATTGAGCCGAGCAAGCCACAGGAGGAAACTGATACTACATAACATAAGTCTGCTGAATAAATATTTAAGAAACAATTATTTGTTTCCTCTTGGAACTTAAGAAGGTAAATTTATGCTTGCTAGTGTTGATTTCCTGCCTACTATGGTGAGATCTAAAGTGACTCAAATTGAGTTTTGGGAAAGTGAGAACAGACAGACAAAAACATTTCTTTACCCAGCATGTTAGTCTGTGGAACTCCTTGCCACAGGATGTGGTGATGGCGTCTGGCTTGGATGACTTTAAAAGGAGATTGGGCAGATTTCTGGAGGAAAAGCCCATTGCAGGTTACAAGCTATGGTGGGGGTGTATAATCTCCAGGGTTAAAAGGTGGATACAGTGGTGCCCCGCATAGCGACGTTAATCCGTTCTGGATTAATCGTCGCTATGTGAAAACATCGCTAAACGGAATGGAAAAACCCATAGGACCGCATGAAACTTTGTTTAGTGCGTTCCTGCGGGGCCCAAACTCACCGTTCAGCGAAGATCCTCCATAGCGCTGCCATTTTCACGCCCTTGGTAAGCGAGGAAACTGCGCGAAAATGGTTGCGGCGGCCATTTTGGAACCGCCGATCAGCTGTTTTAGAAACATCGCAATGCGAAGATCGGTAAGCGAAACGCTTACCGATCATCGCAATGCGATGTTTTGCCCATTAAAACATTGCAATGCGATCGCATTAGCAATCTAAAAAAAATAGACGGATTCGTCATTAAACTGTGCGCTCGTTGTGCGAGGCACCACTGTACTTCAAAATTCCAGATTCACCAAATCCCTGTTGATTCAGTGGCCCTACTCTATTGCAATTTTCTACTCTAAGCAACAGGATTTTGGTGACAGGATTTAGCCTTATGGTTTAGTCAGGGATTTTTTGTGTGTGTACATAAATTTCTATGTAGGATGTCCCCTGTTCAATCCTTGGAATCTTCATGTAGGGCTGGGAAGCATTCCCAGTGTTAAGCTCATTCAGCTACATGGGCCAGTGGGCATCACTATAAGAGAATTTCCTATTTTGCAATATTTTATTCTCCTGTGATTTGCTTGTTCTGTTAAGATCCTTTTCTTATGTGTCATTCATAAATTATATATATTTTACTTCTAAAATAGTTCTACAAGCTGGCCAGCAGAGTGTGTGCTAGTATAAGTTTTTTTTAAATCTGCAGTAAATATTGCTGTGCCTTTACTTCAGGGCATGAAACAATTTGGATGCAATATGAAAAAGGGTTAAACAGTGGGGTGTTCAGTAGGGTAATTCATATTTCTTTATTATCAGTTTACTAAACAATTTCATTTTAAATATTCAGATTTTTAAAGAAACTGAGGCACAAAAATTTATTATAAAATGACATTGAAAGCATAACAGTTGAGGATTCATGATTCAAGCTTAGAAACAAACATAATCAGTTAATGGTTGGGGAAAACCAGGATAAGCAAGTACCCTCTAGATCTACCCACTGCATTTTCTTACCCTTAATTGTCACTGTTGCTTTTATGATTGTTTTTAGTTGGCAAAACACATTTGCACCTTTAAAGGAAAAAAGAGATATTGTGAACATGTCACTAATATGGGTAACAACAGAGAAAGGCAAACTACTGTATGCCTTTTTGAAAAGAGGCTTGGGCCTTTCAAATTAGTTGGATGAGCCTCTTGTTCCCAAGAGAGCTTTGTGTTCTCTTCAGTCCCTGAATCAGTGACAGAAAATATGTGGCTCTTTTGGATTGTACTTTGTTCTTAGCCTCTCTGAGCTTGGGCTATGCCAGCTGGTATTTAGGGGGTTTGAAGTCCTCTGTATCCAGTGGACCTAGGTTCTGCAACCGTGTTCTGAATGTCTTACCTGTACTGATAAATGCCAGACCATCATTCTCACATTTTCTGTATATTACGCATCTAATTAATATAACTGTTGTTTGCAGCTATACTTTTAGCATTGGTATGGCAATATAATTCACTTGTCTTAAATTTCATGGTTGTATCTTCTTCATCTATGATAAATAGTATGCAGAGTAGATAAAGCACGGGTGTAAAATATTTGTGTAGGAATAAATGTGTTTGCAAAAATCAGACTCTCCAAGTTTGTTTGTAGTGTGAGAAAAAAATTAACACATGGGACAGTTTTGCTTCTTGGTATGTAATAGTAACAAATTAGAAGTAATCAACATGCAGTTAGAATTAGCCGTTCATTCTGTAGCATTTGCCATTTCTGACTACTAAAGGGTTTTTGTTTTGAAAACATTGTCTTAAAATACAATATGGAATGTTATTAATTACTTTATTGCTGTTCATGTAATCTCCTAATTGGTTTTCTTGGGATTTCCCCCCCCCCCAGGCGAATGACTGGACACTCGTTCCACATGGGCTATAGTATGGCCATACTGAATGGAATAGTTGCAGCTCTTACTATAATATGGTGCCTCTTCTAGTTAGTGGACTGGAGTCTGTTGTAATGTGTCAATTATGTAGACGGCAATTGGACTATGAGCTGTTCCCGTGTACCACATTTCCACGAGAATATCATTACTATGTACATTCTCCACATTGATGCCAAATGTTCTGAGAAGCAGCTGTAAATGTTAATGGCTTATTGGCAAGGAAAGCCAGATGCCTCTCTGCAGAGACGTGTTGCCACAGCGAAGTTGTTTTAAATTGATTCTACTGTATTGTGTTAGGGCTGTTAGAATGTTTATGATGTGCATGGCATTACTCCTAGTGAACTGTACACTGCCTTTTAATTCTACTGCCAAACAAACTTTCAGATCTTATTTTTAACTGCAGGTTCAGTGAGTTATATGTTGCCCCAATGAGAAAAGAATGAGGTGGAAACTTACATTTTATGAGATAATTTGGGGGTGAGAAAGATTTTAACTTGTGAAATATTAGTTAGTGGATATGTTTACTTTTTAGATACTGTAGGGGATCAGATACTGCATATTCAGATAAACATATTTCAGGTATTTTGTATTATACAGTGGATGGAAATTAGACTTCCTTTGCAAATGTAGGAAAAAGCACTCTTGCTACAACCTCTCCCAAATAAGTGTCTTCCAGATACTTTGTAGTAAAATTCTCATCAGCCCGTCCACCATGGCCAATGGGCAAGAACTGCAAAACATATGGAAGACTGGAACAATACTGATTGGTGGGTGCAAGCTTTTGAGTTTTAAAATTCTTCAGGCAAAATGAAAAGGCTCAATGTGATTCAAACTTTGGATTTAGTACTATCTGAACGTTGTATCCTCAGAGTGGAGTGGAGAGTAGTTTGGTGTATAAGTGGACTTCTGCCAGACAGAAGTAGATGTGGTGAGATGATATTTTCCTCTCTCCAAGCAGCCGTTTGTGCCTTACATAAGTTTTCCAGAGTGTTCCCCAACATACTGGAAGATACCAAGAAGCAGAGGTATAAATCAGCAATGACGTTCCTCTTTCTCCAGAGAGAAGCTGAAACAAATATCTCATGAGCAGAATTCTGTAAAAGCAGAACTCATGATGTTCTCACCAGGAGATGCAAGATTTGACCTAAAAGCTTATTTTTAATTACATAGTTATAAGAGTTATCTTGTGTTATGGCTGCATCAAATATATGTAGCTTCTTATAGTTAAACATGTGTACAAATAAAATTTGACATCCAGTAGCTGTTCATTTTTGAAAGCATTTCCTTTTGGTATGGCAGTTCTTTTTCATGTGCACATCTTCCATCCTAATTGTCATTTGATGTGTACTTAATCTTAGTGTGATTGTTATTATATTCTGAGTGACACTGAATGTAATGTATTTGAGTGTAATGTTAAACTGGTTTGCATTGCACATACAAACCAAGGCCTAATGAGGTTCTCCTTCTTTGTCTGGCATTATATAAGGAGATTAGAAGTGATGACTTCTGTTTTGAACTGAACATACTTGTTTATTGTGTTCCAAGTTGGACCAACTTGGTTGTATTAGTCTAGATGGGCGGAATATAAATAAAATAAAATAAAATAAAAAAGATGGTTTAGGGAAAGGAGCTGATTTCAAACAGGTTTGTAATTTTGGCTTATTTTTCTAAACCATGGTTAAACTTAATCACAGTTCTAGATTTTGAAATGATGTGTAATGATGCTGATAAGTAAGGAAGTCATGTTTCTTTAAAAAGGGGAGTGAACGCTTCTGATCTCTTCCTTGCAGCCATACCAAAAGAAAGGTAGGGAGTGAGCAAAGATGTATCTGTATATTTTGATCTGTACATTTTGCTGATTGCATATATTACATGAACAGAACTATATTTAAAAGCCATTAACTATGTGATATGTATATTTTGTGTAGTATCAACATGATTGTTAGGACAACCAATTTAGGCAATGTAATTATTTTAAAAATGTGTGTATCATGCATGTGAACGCAACAGCTAAATAATAAATGGAGATATGAATAGTTGTTTGTTCTATGAATATATATTTGTATTTTTACTTCATTTTGTCCCTACAGTACTTTCGCGAATTCATAAATGAAATAAAGTGCATGTAGCTTTTTTAATAGTAATGAAGTACTTTGGCTATAAAAAGTGTTACTTGATCATTTCTTTTGCATGCTTGCTTTCAAGTTGCTTCACAAATAATTGTAAGTTTCTAGCCGTGACTTAATTTGCTAAGCAGCACAGAGTTTTTTTCCATTTGGATTACGTCATAGAGTAGGAGCAGCTGAAGGCCAGGGGCCATGCACCCCATCCCTGGACCTTGGAGGTCCCTCCTGTCATCACCTGATTATTTTTCCCATCTTGAACTATATTATTAATGTTGACTTCAGTCTAGATGGGTGAGGTATAAATTGAATAAATGTCTATTCTCACAACCCCCCTCCCAATCATTCTCATACAAAATTGTGTTGTTTTTTTCAATCAAAAACCCTCTTTGATGAGTGGAAAGACCAAGGTTGTTGAGGACCCCTCAAAATGGAAATTGGCCTCCAGATAAATAGAGTTTTATATATAATAACAGCTGATTGGATAGCTCTGTGGAGCCAGAGGTTGGGAGTCTGATTCCCCACTGTGCTTCCAGGGAGAAGAGCCAGCCTGTGTGGCCTTAGGCCAGCTGCACAGGATGCCCCCAGAAGAAGGGAGTGGAAAACTATATATATATATTTGAGACCTATAGGTGCTGGAGAGACTCTCTGAAGTGGATGTGGTGAGTCTGCATGTTGGCTTTCCATCAGAGGTGGTTTAATTTATGACAACGAAACTTATGAAAGTCCCATAGTTGAACACACTTGTCCGTGACCCTAGGACTACTCCCATATCCCCTATCTCCAAAATCCTTTTTTTAAAACACTGAAACATTCCCCCTTCTGTGAACTGATTTTGTGTTGTCCACAAATTTGATAACCATTCTCTGCGCTCCTCTCATCCAAGTCATTAATAAAAATACTGAAAAGCACCAGATCTGAATGATCTTGCGGTACCCAACTTGTTAGCTTCTAGTTTGAGAAGGAATCATTGATAAGTATTTTCTGAGTATGATTCTGTAACCAATTGTATCACTGATTGTTGTTCTATCCAGCCCACACCCAGTTAGCTTGCTAATGAGAATATATCATGGGTCATTTTTCAACAGTTTAGGTGAGGTCCACATATAATGTATCCTGGTTTGTTTACTGCCGCAACGGATGTTCAGCACCTTACCCCCCCTTCTGCATACACCCACTCAGAAGCAGGGCAGGGAAGCTTGGATGTTGCTTTCAAGTGGTGCCGTCCAGAGGGGGAAGGGCATTGAACTGCCAAGTACCTGTTGTGGTGGTAAACTGGGACAAACGACTGAAGAAGTGGTTCAAGCCCATCTCCGATTACATCTGTAGCATTCCCTCCATCTACCAGGGAGGTTACATGATTTAAAAAATCAGGTAAGAGTATTCTGGCAGGATTTGTTCTTGACAAATCCATGTTAGTTTCTAGTTATACTTCATTGTTTCCAAATTGCTTGCGAAGTGACCACTTTATAATCTGCTCTAGAATTATCTTATTTAACTATGGATATTGGCCTCTCTGATGGAGGAGGGCACACTATGAGTGACATAATGTCTCTGGTCCTCAAGAGAACAGGACTGCTTGATATGGTAGTTGGAACTTCTTGTTTACGTACTTTTCCTATTTTTCACCGTTTCCTAATAAGATGTCGTGTGCTTCTAAGTACAGACAACATAGTCACAAAGACACATACTGTATCAGTGTTTTTCAGAGACATCCAAAACTTGCTAGTTGGTGGTCCTTCACTTTTAAATAGCTTGTCTTTTCAGATCAAGATCTCCTTTAATTTTTCTCAGCTTTGGCTGCTTCAGAACTGGGTAGAACATGGGGTCCAGAGTATGTTATTTATCCTGAATATGTGAACCCAGTTTCAGCCAGGCAGTATTAATCATTCCTGGATGACTCAGACAAGAATGAATTTTCATTGTAAGTTGTCTAGCATGCTAACATCTATGAAAATGGCCCGATATTGATCAGTCAACAGTTGAACAACATGTGCAAGATGTAGTTGGCTATGTTTTCATGTTGTTACTTGTTTTTTATAAGATGATATTTCTACCTTTTTTTGGCCAGAATCCTATTGATGTTTTTGTAACTTACTGCAGCTAAGTTGCACAGTCCTTATATGAACATCAGTAGGAGTCTGGCCATGAAGAGATGTCCCGTATATATACACTGCTTTGACTGCTGCTGTTTGATAGCAAAGAATAGGGTAAAGGCTTTACATTTTTAAAGCTTTAGAGAAACTCTTCCTGTTTATTTTCTAAGTCATTTTCAGGACAGTCTATGGCTAAGTGGCTGGTATTTCAATAAAACAATGTGTGCTCACCACCCAAGCATTCCAGTTCAAGCAAAGCAATCATCAGAAGAGCTGTATAGTTTTATTATCCATGCTAGAACTCTTGAAGCATTTCATCTCAAGCCTACAAGTAGTTGCCTGAGTAAAAGCTTTCATTTTAAAGTGTTTCTAATTTAAAAAATGTACACTCAGAGTGCATTTATATAAGTTTTCTTGATGTCTTTCATATGTACCCTGTTTCCCCAAAAATAAGACCTAACCTGAAAAATAAGCCCTAATATGATTTTCAGGATGCTCATAATATAAGCCCCAATTAAGTGAAACCTTGCCCTCCACCATTGTGCAAGATGACATGCCTGTATTTGAATAAATATACTGTGTGATATTTGCACACAAGTATGTAGCATCACAGATATTCCCTACTTCCACTGTTGGCTGGGAAGTCAATAAAAAGTTTCGCTTATTTCTTTGCGAAAAGTAATTGAACAGGTTTGTTTATTATTCATTTTATTTAAAACATTCATTTCATGTGCTGTTTCACAAGATCTTAGGGGCTGTTACTGAGCTGTATATTATAAAATGAAAATATAATATCTTTAAAACAGTTTAAAATTAAAACATTAAAACCACTGCATTAAAACCCTCACTGGCCAAGATTTTCAACACCCCAAAGGTTCTAATAAACAAACATATTTTGACTTAATTCTAAAATGATACCAATGTCAGTGTCAGCTGAGGCTCCAAGAGGAGGGCATTCTATAGTTGGGGTGCTGCAGCCAAGGAAGCCCTCCACATAATGTACATTTCTCAGTGGTGGAATGCAGAGGAGGGTCTGTCCGACAGCTCATAGTAATTGGGCAGGTTTACATAGGAAATTTAATGATTCACAATTAAGATCATGGAATTCTATTAATGAGTCTTTTGTATATCCGATAGCCTCTGTGTCTTTGCTGGATTTCCAGCTGAAAGACGTGCCTCGTACATGTAATAGGAATGCAAAGCGCTGACCAGATTACACACAAGATTGAACTTGATGGCTATTTCACAAAGGCCTCTGGAATACAGGATTCCAAGCTCTGTTTAAACTAGGTAGCCATGCTCCTTTGGAATGTGGTAAGACCCCATCAACTGCCAGTGCATCTGGGAGGCTAGGGCAGAGGACATTGAGACTGCCCGACATTTTTCTGGTTCTCCTTCAGAAACAGATCAAGACACCAACTGAATCTGACAAGCCGATTTCTGCACTGCCCTCATTTTTAAAAAAAGGCTAGATGGGTTTTTGGGAGGTATCCATAGGGCTAGAGAGGAGAGAGAGAGCGAGAGAGAGGTCACTGCATTTACCCCCATGCCAGCCTGTATCAGACAGAAGTGCCCTGAAAAACTCAAAAATGGTAGTAATTCACTTATCTCAAACCTCTGCAACCTAGGTTTTTAGATGATTATTTCTTGATTAGGTTCCTTTCAAGACAACTTCATTGTAGGTGAGCAAAGAGTATCAGTGCATTAAAGTTTTACACCTCGCTCTGGCATACCAGGACCACTTCGTGCTATTGGAGTATCTCAGCTGGCCATCAGCAGTGTTTAATCGTTCTAAAATAATTCTCATCAGGGTTGAATTTGAACTGCCGGAGCTCTTAGAAAACAAAGGAGATGGGAAGCAGTATTCTTACAAATAAGGTTGGTAAACTCTGTGGCCAGTTGTCAGTATCTTCAGAGGGAAAGACCTGACTTCCTTTCTTATCCCTTTCCTGGGTCCTCTGCTAGAAACAGTCCTACTGTCAGGAAAACCACCTCCACTGGATCTGGGCCATTATTTTTTACTTTCTATTCAAAAGCTTCCACATATTTCAGCATAAGTATATTTTACAAGCATTGCTTACATTGAGTAATGATCCTGATGTTTCTTTGGGTCTTGAGTGGGTGATCTTGAAAGACTTGAGGGTGTTTTTTTTTTTTTTTGCCCCTGCCATGAGACATACCAGGCCCAGAAAATGCTAGGTTTAACATTAATGATTTGACAAAAGGGTATTTTTCTTTTTCTTTTCATTTCTCCTACCAAAGTCTCAACAACATCCTAGCCTATTTTAATTTTGGTTCTAATTAAAGACAATTGCAACATATTTTTCACCATGCAGCACAATTTACTGAAGCTATTTACATATGTGATAGAAATTAAATCCTCTATCTCTGATTTAGGGTATGACCAGAGATGAACATGAAGTGCTTTGTCACACTTCATAGGAAGCATGCCACGTGGCACCATAGGTGCCATGCAGGCCCATTTCCCACCCTCCCCAGCCAGCTGGCCCACTCAACCTTCTTCGTGCACCATCTGGGACCTTCTCTAGTGGTGCGCCAGTCCAGGCAGGAGCTCAGGCTGCCCCTCCCCACCTCTTCAGGCAGCTGATCACTCAAATGAGGAGGTGGGATGGGCATTCTCCCCACACTGTGAATTCACAAACAGGAAGCTGGATTTCCATGGGTTAATGTGCTTCAGCTGACCATGCAAGACTCAGCAGAAAGAGGGGAGGAAATCACCCTTGTTTGTAGTTTGTTAGCTCTTCAAATCCTCTTCTCCGTACACTTGAGTCTGCTTGTTCCCTCTCCAATTCACCT